GGGGGGCTGCTTATAGGAGAAATGTGTAAGGGAACGAGGAAAGCAAATTGGGAAGAAAGCAAGATGTGGTTTAAGGAGTCACCTAGGCTCTCTCTGCCTAATCCCATGGGGAGCTCTGGAGCATAAAGAGCATCGCAGAGTCTGTCAAATCTTGAGGCAGAGGGGCTTTGGTAACCTACACCAGTCAGTCATTGGCTCCCGCCACCCTGTGTGTTGAGGGGAATGTGACCTCCAAGCACCCCAGTTGAGGCAGTGCTAGTTGTCCAAGAGCATCCTTGGGAGGAGGGGTCAGATGTGAGCTCTTAGCTGCAGCGTCTGTAGCAGCTTAGAGAAAAGACATCCCAGGGAATAAAGCAAGACAGCAACAGCAGCTGCTAAAGCGGCACGTCCCAAACGTGAGTGTGCGCCGGCATCCTCCGAGCGCTTATTAAACAAACTGCTATACCTCAGCCCCACAGTTTCTGATTCAGTAAGTCTGGGATGGGGGCCTAAAAATTCCCATTTCCCAAGTGCTGCTGCTGCTGCTGCTGCTGCTGCTGCTGCTGCTGGTCCAGGGACCATGCTTTGAAACCACTGTGTGTAGCTAACGTTTTAAAAAAACAATCAACCACCTCTGGAAAGTTAGGTTATGGGGATCTTCACTCTGGGCACACAAACACTGGCACATGAATATGTTTATAAAGGTTAAATAAAGTGACGGTTGGCTCATCGGAAATGTCGACAGACTGATTTTATCAGCTCATTGGTTCAGCTTAGAATTACATTCTCTCATTCATCACCAATCCCAGCTCCTGTGAGAGAATTTCAGCACAGAGTCCAAGGGAGGTACCACTGTGCCTAGAAACAGACGCCTCAGCAGTCGAGTGGTTGGGAAGAAGGCTGGGTCGGGAGTTCGGAAGCCTGGGCTCCATACCTGCCCACCCCCACCCCCACCGCCGCTCCGGGTGGCTGTGGGGTCATTGGCAAGTGGCTGCAACCAGCGTGTCCTTAGTTCCCCCAGATACAAAGTTTTAAGAGACCTTAACGGTCACTTCCAGCCCTGAGCTCCTCTGCCATTACACCAGTATTTACCTTTGGGACCCCAAGCAAACTACTTGACTTGCAGGTCTTAGTTTCTTAACCTGTTAAATGGGTACAGTGCACTCAGGTCTCTCCAGTGCTTCCAGCTGGCCTTCTTTGAGCATTCTACCCAGAACATTTTGACGATCCCTGTCATGACTACCAGACTCTTTGTCCCCAACTGAAAAGGGTCAGAGAAAAGCAGCAACCCCTGAAAGCACTAGTTGGAGTTTTTTATAAAAAGAGGAAACAGAAGGAGTCGTTGATTTCTTGTTGGACGCTCTCTGACATGTGATGCGATCGCAGTTCCTGGAATCTTGGGCATTGGGGTCATTAATCGCCAAGCTGACTCAGGGACCTGACAGGTCAGGAGCGCGGGGCGCTCCTCATAAGCTCCAGGGCTTTGCTTTAATCTTCGGGGACTCCACGCAGAAATCCATCATGGTGTCTTCAAAGCGGTGTGGTCTATTGTATGAGTGCAGACTTGGGAACCCCTGATGAGCGGATTAGGAGCACAATGCACATCGCGTGAGTGGAGACACCCCTGATTAAAAATGAACCAACTTGGTAATTCAGAGAAAGCACTGCAGTGCTGACCTTAAGGTTCTCAGGCAACAATTAGACCTCCTGTCTCTTTAGTCTGTATATTGAGGCAGGAAAGTCACACAACGTGCATGGAGTGCAAAATTTTTCTTTATTCAGCCATTCAGTTGGATCTCAACGTGTGTGCGCGTATGCACTTGCATGTGTGTTAGAGGAAACAAATGTGCCAAACTGTAAATATCTGGTGTGCTATGTAGACACAGCTACTTGCGACGCACAATGAGGAGAAAGAAAGCAGGGTAAGAAGGGCAGGCTGGGCTGGGGCAGGCCGCTCGGGTGGGCAGCGTGGGGAGGAGTTGCTGTCTTCTCTAAGGATGTAAGCTGGCTCTCAGATACAGGGGACTCTGAGCAGAGTCTCGAGGGCCACGAGGGGTGAGCTGTACCGCCGCGTGGAGGGACAGTGCTCCCGGCAGGAGGGACAGTGGGACCCAGCCAGCGGAGTGCTCAGGAAATGGCAGGACGGTCCAGGGCTGGAGCAGAGGGAGCTGGGGGAAAGGGGCCTGAGCACAGGGATGACATGAGCTGACAGGAGTTCTATTTGAAAGGATGCCTCTGGCTCGACGTGGAGACTGCACTGTGGAGGGGAAAGATGGAAACAGGGAGGCCATTGAGGAGACAGGAATCTAGGCTAATGAGATGTGACTTAAGATGGTTGTTAGGCCTGGAGGTGAAGTGTCCAACTCCAGATATATCCATATTTTGAAGGTCGAGTGAACAGAATTTGTTAATGATCTTGCTATAGGATGTGACAGAAAGAGAGAATCAAGGATAAATCCAGTGCTTTGAGTGTGAGCTACCGGAAGAAGGAAGCTGCCATTTGCTGATATGTAGAAAACTGAGGGGGCCGAACATGTAAAGGTTGGGGTAGAAAACAAGGGTTTGCTCTGGAATGTTCCACCTTTGTGCTGCCTATTAGATACCCATGGGGAGATGTCATGTAGGCCGTTGGAGTCCAGAGTCCAGAAGGGAGGTCTGAGCTGGAGACACAGTACTGGGTGGTGTCAGCCCCATCTTTTTCTTAAACAACCACAGATTCTAAGCCTCAGTGGTAAATGACATATTCCAGCCAAGAAACTCTAGATTCATAATAGATTTTGCTAACATAAACCAATGTATAAACAAGTAAAACAAAACCATGATGGTTTTAAATAAAATTCATCTTCAAATGAAACATGTGAGTATGATTTTATAGCCAGAACAAGCGCGTTCCAACAATATTCTAGGGCTCAAATTAGACAGCTGGTCAGCTAGGCCCAGAAATGACTAGCCCTCCTCCCTCCATACCTCCATGCCTTTGTGAAAGAAGGGGTCAGTGAATTGGACTTCATCAAGATTAAAACCTTTAGTGCATCAAAGGACAGTATCAAGAAAATGAAAAGACAACCTACAAAAAGGAATAAAATATTTGCAAATCACGTATCTGATAAAGGGCTGACGTCCAGAATATATAAAGAACTCTTGCAACTCAACAAAGAAAGACAGACAACCCAATTTTAAAAATTGGCAAAGGACTTGAATTGATATTTTTCCTAAGAAAATATGCAAATAGCTAACAAGTACCTGAAGAGATGCTCAACATCATTAGCCATTAGAGAAATGCAAATGAAAACCACAGTGAGCTGTCACTTCAAACACCCAAGGATGACTATAATCAAAAGAGTGGATGCAGATACTACTGCTATATATAAAATAGATAAACGACAGGGCTAGCGCAGGGGACTTTATTCAATACCTTGTAACACCAGAAATGAACACAACATTGTAAATCGACTATACTTCAATTAAAAAAAAAAGACCAAATTAAAAAAGTGGAAAATAACAAGTGGTGGTAAGCCTATGGAGAAATTGGAACCATCGTACCTTGCTTGTAGGAATGGAAAATGATGCAGCCACTGTGGAAAACAGTGTGGTAGTTCCTCAAAAAGTTAAACATAGGATTATCAAAAGATCCAGGAATTCCACTCCCAAGAAAATGGAAGCAGGGACTTCAACAAATACTTGTACACCAGTGTTCACAACTAATGAATATTATTCAGCCATGGGAAGGAAGGAAGTGCTGATATGTGCTACATCGTGGATGAACCTTGAAAACATTATGCTGAGTGAAGGAAGCCAGACCTAAAAGACTACACAGTATATGATTCTCTTTATACGCAGCATCCAGAATAGGTAAATCCACAGAGGAAGAGAGCAGAGTGGTGGCTGCTTGGGGGATAGGAAGTGACTGCTTCCTGGCTACCGGCGTTTCTTGGGGGATGATGAAAACATTTGGGAACTAGACAGAGGTGGTGATTGCACAACACTGCCCATGTACTAAATGCCACTGAATTGTTCCCTTTAAAAATGGTTAATTTCATGTGATGTGAATTTCACCTCGATTTTTAAAGAAAACTAAAAATTAGAAAGGATCGGCCAAAAAATTTGAAAAGCCAGTGTCCGAAGCAGACCCTGCTTTGCGGCAGGAAGGTTATTCTTCCACAGATCTTCATAAATAAGCCCTGGTGTCTCCAGAGCAGAATCCTTCAACACAGCAGTCTCCTTTATGCGGGGGGAGCCAACGCTTTCCTGAAAAGCAGGCATCGAAAGGTGGTCGTTTCCCTAATTTACGTCCACTGCGTTTATATATTCCATTGCGTTCCAGGGTTGAAGTGTTTTGAAAATAACTTGTAACGAACTAAGCAGAATAGCCTGATTCCTTGTTTACCAAAAAGGAAAATGAAAGAGACGGAAAGGCAGGACTGAGCAAACTGTGCCTTTGAAAGCACAGACTGTATGGGGAGGGACACGCTGCTATTTCCAGTCTTGTGTGGGTGTGAGGACAACAGGCTTCTGGAAACAGCTGTTTCACAGCGGAATGTGTGGGAAGTCTCCTGGGACTCAGAGACCCACCCTCCACAGTGAACCAGGGGAAAGTTCCCAAGAGCTTGGAGAGTTCAGTGCATTTAAACCATTTGAAATGGGGACTCGACACTGGGGTTTGATTGAGCTGTAGTATTATTTAGCGAGGCTTTGCTCCCTCTGTTCAAAAGAATGACTCCAGGGAACTGAAAAGCTAAACCAGAAACAGACATAGTGTACTTTCCAGAAGAATGACTCTCCTCAAAGCCACTTCTGCAGGGATCCAGCCTCCCTCTGGGGGTCTGACACTCTGCCCACTTCTGGAAGGAAACCGACTTGGGTGGAGGGACCAGTGACCTCTGTGCAAACTTTTGTTTCAAGATCCAGCATTCAGTGCAAACTCTTTGTTATGATGAAGGATCGAAGATGATTTGAAGACCTCATTTGCTTTTGTTTTTGTTTTAATGAATCATGGTATCTACCTTTCAAAGCTTGTCCCCATGTCCTGAAAAGTAAAACCAACCCATTTCCACCCAGCTACAGAGAACACACTATAAATAGGACCCCCAAATGGTGGTTCGGTAAAAGCTGGGTAACAAGTTGATCCATTTATTTTTGTTTTTCCTATAAAACTTTGTGTCTTAAACATAATGAGAGTAAGGAAGAAGTCTTGTAACTTTAAGTATAATTACTTTAAGGGTGTATCTTTAGCTGCATGCTGGTCAACATTGTTAGCATTTATTCATTCTGTCATTCATCCATTCAGCAAATACATATTTACTGCTTGCAGCGTGCTAGGCATCATGCTAGGCGTGGGGATACAGTGATAAGCAACGCAGACACAGTCTCAGTGTCAGGGAGCAGGTGATGCACAGAGGAATACAGAGAACCGTTTACCCCGCTGGGCGCTGAGACGGAAGGGGATATTTTCCATCTTCCAAGATCAAGGTCTTCTTCCCCCATCCTTCATTTCTGTTTTAAAATTAAACTCTATCCATGATGAAATTCAGCAGGACCATCCTCTTCTAGAAACATGGGTCCTCAAAATCATCAGAAGGAAATAGTCCAGTTCTACATTTCCCAAAGTCAGGATGATTCAGAACTAAACGATGGTGACGGTCCGGGCAGAGCTGGAACTCAGGCCTGCGCCTTCCTCCTTCACTTCTCAGGTTCTCAGCTCTGGGTCTCCTGTGAACTAGACCAAGAACACACGTGACTCCTGCCAAACAAACACTAACTTACAGTTAAATTTGCTGAGAAAACTCACAGCTCACTCCCTCAAAACTGTGAAGTCTGCAGAGTACTAGCTCAGCTGAACGATGCACAGTTTATGTGGCCAAAAATGCATGCCACTTACACAGTCACACAGGAATCCTGGGATCCCCCATAAAATCTACTTCCTCGATCGTGTTCTAGCCTTCCCCAGTAACAGTAGGCACCACTTGCTTCACAATTGCACAACTGAAAGGCCCATAGTAATATTTTTTCTCCAAAGCAAAGGGATGTTTCCCTCAAATGTAAATCTGTATCTCTACGCCTTAGGAAGCAAAATACAATCCCCCATGTTTAACCACCTGTTTTTCCATGATCTGTTCTTCAAGCTTCCCCTGAAGCTTTAAATGAGATCCACTCCTAACTGGGATCTCCTAACTTGTTTACACAATTTGCAGGTGGCACAAAGCTGAGTGTTGGTGGAGGGAAGAGCTGAGAGAGCTTTGATCAAAATTAGCCTTGATGGGCTGGATTCAGGCCACAGTATCGTCCAGGTAACTTCCGACTAAGGTCTTCCCTTCCAGGCAGAGAACGTTAGCCACAGAGGAACCAGGTTGAGAAGCGGCCACGTAGCACCCAGGCCTTGGACTTCAGGCCTAAACTGACCTGAAATTCTATATGAAATCACAACATAACAGGAAGACGACAGCTTTGGTTTATTTCGTTAGATTTCTATTTTTTAATGGGGGTACTGGGCATTGAACCCAGGACCTCGTGCGTGCTAAGCATGCTCTCGACCACTGAGCTAGACCCTCCCCCCTGGACCACAGTTTTGGGGATTACAAAAAAGGTTCTCACCCTCTATTTAACCTCTCTCATATTCAGTTTCTTTAAACAATAACATTATAATATCCCCTTTCTACCCTGAACTTTTCTGAATTTGGCAGTGTTAGAGTATTTTTCACTCTCTTCAGCGCTTGGGAAATATAAGTTATTTGCTCTGTCCTGATATTAAATTACTTAGTGAATATTTGAGTGGGATAGTGGAGAGGCAGCTGCCTTGAGGTTAAATGGTTCAAAACCAGTTGGGCAATAGCTGAACAGTTTATCACAGCAAACAACTGGCCTTCCTAAGTTTAGATTTCCGGATCATTGTTGGAGGCCCTGAAGGAGGTCAGGGACAGGGTTACGTGGGCTGCAGAGCTCTCACTGAAAACAATTTATGTAAAATAAAATAAAACAAAACAGAACAATAGGGGGCAAGGGGCATATGGGAAATCTACCTTCCTCTTAATTTTGCTGTGACCCTAAGACTGCTCTTAAAAAAACTCAGTATTAAAAAAAAAAACACTGCCATCAGTGGTACACTGGCTGTAGGGGGGGCCTCCTGGTATTCATGCCCTTATGCAATGCCCTCTCCTTAGAGGTGAGCTGGACTGAATGACTTCTGACTAAGCAGCTTCTAACTAGAAGGATACAGCAGAAATAATGAGTCGTGACTACTGAGATTAGGTTACAAAAAAGACTGTGGCTTCCATCTTGCTTTCCCGCTCTTCCTTTTTCACTGGCTAAGGCTGATGGAAGCCAGTTGCCATGTTGTGAGATGCCATGGGGAGAGGCTGACATGGCAGAGAACTGAAGGAGGATCCAGCCAACAGCCAGTGAGGAACCAAGGCCCTCAGTCTAGCAACCTGTGAGGAACTGAGTCCCGCCAGCATCACTTGAGTGAGCTTGGGAAAGAATCAAAGAATTTAATGATGTAAAGTTTCACTGGTAATTGATAAGACAGATCTGAAGCCAGAAATGCAGACATCCTCTCCTCTTCTTTTAAAAAGAACATAGCCAAGACATGGAAACAACCTAAATGTCCATTGACAGATGACTGGATAAAGATGTGGTACATATATACAGTGGGATACTACTCAGCCATGAAAAGGAATAAAATGCCATTTGCAGCAATATGGGTCGACCTGGAGATGGTTATTCTGAGTGAAGTCAGCCAGAAAGAGAAACACAGATTCCATACGATAACACTTAACATGTGAAATCTAAAAAAATGACACAAATGAACTTATTTAGTAAACAGAAACAAACTCACAGACATAGAAAACAAACTTGTGGTTACCAGGGGGAAAGCAGTGAGTGGAGGGATAAACTGGGAGTTTAGGATTTTCAGATACTAACTACCATATATAAAGTAGATAAATAGCGAAGTCCTACTGTACAGCAAGGGGAACTATGTTTAATAGCTTGTAATAGCCTATAATGAAATAGAATATCAAAAAAGTGTGTGTGTGTGTATATATATATATATATATATATATATATATATATATATATATATTCACTATCACTGTGCTGTACACCAGAAATTAACACATCGTAAACTGACTATACTTCAATTTTTTAAAAAATTTTAAAAGAACATGGAATATGCCTGTGTACAGGATTTTCTTCCTTTTCCTCCCTGTCTTCTCCTTCCTCCTTCTAATGAAATTGATCCCAGAGAAAGACACCACAGTCAGCATAGGGGTGTGAGAATGGAGAGCAGAGATCAGAATGGGGCACTGGGGGACCGCCTGAGTGGACACCTCACAGGAGAGCCAGACTGCTTAGAGCAATTCATCTTTTGAAGCCGTACAGCAAGACAAGAATGATGCCTGACCATTCACACACCCGGCAGCCTTCCCATCTCAGTCAGCAGCTGGATTTATTCCCAGTTGTCAGGAGCCCCATTGGAGGTGATCTCCATCCAGTTTGTTATGGACAATTGTTCAGATCCCCCAGGCAGCCTTCTCAGTTTCTTCTTGGCTGAAGGCATGAGGATGGTCAAAGACTGAATGGGTGTGCGTGTGTCCTTCCCTCCGTCACTGATAGGATGATTCTGATAGTTAGGGTCAGGTCTCTAGAGGTCCTGGGCTGCCTTTGATAGATTCAGCTTTGATGCCTGGACATCCCAAAAGTTTAGAGATCCTAAGTAAGTTCTGAAGACAGAAGGGCTAGTGCTATGAAACAAAAAAGGGTGAAATGTAACTGCCATATCAGCAAGGATGCAGTGGAACAGAGTCAGGGAAACATACCCAGTTCTTAAAATTCTAATGCCAGATCTGCTGCTGGCAAGATCTTTCCAATAAAGCAATGAGCAGTTCTGTGCTTTTATTTCTTCACCAACTATACAATCATACCACCTGTTGATCCCAAAGGAGTAATGGCAGGTTAACTCCATAAATAAATCTTATTTTAATACTATTTATGCTCATAATGGCTGCAAGATCTGTACTGGCCCAGCCAAAGGCTGTTTAATTACTCAACTGTGAATCTGTATTCTCCCTTATATGGCCTCATGGACCTTAAACAACCTGACTACATTACCCGTGATTTATGAAGCACTTTGCATTTAAAATAATCCTCATTTAATTTTCACAACAAAATTGAGTGGAAGATGTTTCTATCACCAGTTGACAGATGAGTACACCAAGGTTTACAAAGATAAGTAACATGCCCGTCACACACTCCATCCCCTGACCCTGCTTTCTGGTGCCTCAGAGGACCTGACGTTCTGTTTCTTCATCTGTTGGTTGGTGTCTGTCCCCGCCACAGGAACACTGCCCTGTTCACTGCAGTGTTCCTAGGGCTCGCTGCACTGCCTGGCACAGAGCAGACGTTCACGAGTTTAGGGAACTAAATTTGCATGTCTTCCCACCTCATCATGATTGCTTTTCCTTATGATAAAGAGCCCAACTTCTTTCACCACTGGACTTCCAACAATATTTCAGACATTCAACCCTGGGCGTCATAACATTTTACGATGGAAAGGGACCCTGGCAAGTCACCAGCTTTCCTCGTATCCCCAGATTACTCAAGAGCAACCAGCGTTCATAGTCACCTATCATGTGCCAGGTACAGTGCCCAGCACCAGAGGTACAATGGGAATTAAGAAAAAGAATATGAAAATGAATATATGTACATGCATGTATGACTGAAGAATTGTACTGCACACCAGAAATTGACACAACATTGTAAACTGACAATAACTCGAAAAAAAAAAAGAAAAGAAAAGAAAGTGACTATTTAAGTTGCTCCCTGAGAGGAAGAGACAGAGGGAGGCATGGTGTCCACACCACGAGGCCAGCGCAGCGTGTCTGGGAGAGCTGGGGAGCAAGAGTGTTACTGGGCTCAGCTCTGGCTGCTTGCCACTCCAAAATCAGTACTTGAGAGAGGGAAATTTGGTAGAAAGGAAAGTTGCCTTTAATCAGAATGCCGGCAGTCTGGGGAGATGGTGGGCTCAGTGTCTGCAAAAACCAACTCCGAAGATTCTGCTCTGCCAAGAAAGTTTTAAAGGAAAAAGGGAAGTAATCTCAGCTATTCATGGAGATGGGGTCCAAGTCGTCGCCATCCCCACCGCGCTTGTCGACTTCTTGTGATCTTTCCTTAGATTGCTACCTTGTTCACACGTTTTGTTCCCAAGATGACCGAAGGGAAAGCTAGGGAGGAGATCTGGTCATCTGTGAACGACTTATTCTCCGTTTCTACTTCTCTGATTTATGAAAAGAAGAAACAGATTAAGCAAGGGATTGTGTGATCAATATTTGAAAAGTGTGCTTGGACTGGACATTAGTGGAACTCGGAGGCGCCTGGTTTAAAGTGAGTGACAAGACATAAGGGGCCTCCTGTAGAGAGCTCTTTCCTGCCCAAAGCTGCTTACAAGAGAAGGGGCCCTTAGCCTGAGGAGAAGGAAGAAAGGCTATCAAGGAAGATTTCTTGGAGGTGGTGATTTCTATTCAGAAGAAAGAATTTATCCTGAAAGGTAGGAAGAAAATAATATCCAGGCAGAGGCAACAGCAAAAGCCAGGCACAGAGACATTTCAAGCAGTCTAACTGCGTGCATTTCAGAATAATGAGTTGGAACGGGCACTAGACCAGAGCCAATTTGGAAGGTGCGTAGTAAGTTCTGTTTTGACAAGTGGAGTTAGAGCAGCTTGC